CCAGACCTTTCATTCCTAGAAGCAATAATGTAACCTTTTAGTAAGAAAGTGATAACTTGAATTTATGTATTGCCTTTGCGAGCTCAGGATGTCACAAAACATTTTACTTGCAATAAAGTACATTTGAAGTACAGTTGCTGTGGTAGTGCATGGTATACTAGTTCCAACAAAAAAGATTAATCTCTTTTGTAGAGAGATAGTAGGAACTGCAGATGCTGGAGAATCTCTTTTGTAAGTTTGTCTGAGGGATAGATATTGGTCAGAGCTCAGGGACAGTTCTCCCCTTGTTCTTCTTGAAACTATTGTGAAGGGATTATTTACATCGCTCCAACGCAGCAAACCAGGACCAAGTTTAACATTTCTTCTGACTGGTGGTATCCGATGTAACACTCTCTCACTACAGCAGCGGGAGTGTCAGGTCGGTTTATGCACTGAGATTTCTTGATTAGGATTTGAATTTGCAGCCTTCTGACGCAGAGGCACAAGTGCTACCAACGATCCATGGCTGATTACTACAGAAGGAGCACTAAACATAGAAGCATAGAAGATAGGAGCAGGAGTAGGCCATTCAACCCCTCAAGCCTGCTCGACCATTTGATATGATCGTGGCTGATCATTGAGCTAAATACCCTTACTCTGCCAACACCCCTGTATCCCTTGAACCACAAGAGCAACATCTACCTCCTTCTTGAAAACACAATGTTTTGGTCTCAAACACTTTCTGTGGTTGTGATTTCCACTGGCTCACCACTCTCTGGGTGAAGCAATTTCTCCTAATTGCAGTTCTTAAAGGTTTACCTCTTATACTTAAAGTACAAGCCCTGGTTCTTGACTTCCCCACCATTGGGAACATCCTTCCTGCAGCTAACCTGTCTCGTCCTGTTAGAATTTTATAGGTTTCTGAGATTCCCCCTCATTCTTCTAAACTTCAGCAAAAATAATCTTAACTGACTCAATTTCTTCTCACATGTCCATCTGGTCATCCCAGGAATCAATTTGGTAAACCTTCGCTGCACTTCCTCTGCACTTCCTCTGGAGCAAGAACAGCTTCCTCAGATAAAGGGGACCAAAACTGCACACATTATTCCAGGCATGGCCTCACCAATGCCCTGTATAAGTGCAGCAAGACACCCTTGTTCCTGTACTTAAATTCTCTCGTGATGAAGGCCCATATATAGTTTGCCATCTGGTATGCATTTGCCCACTCAATCAGCCAGTCCAAATCACACTGCATCTCTAAATCCTCCTCACAATTCACCCTTCCACCCAGCTTTGTGTTATCTGCAAATTTGGAGATATTACATTTAGTTCCCTCATCTAAATCATTGACCTATATTGTGAATAGCTGGGGTCTTAGTACCTATCCCTGTGGTATCCCACTAGTCACTGCCTGTCATTCAGAAAAAGATCAATTTATTCCTACTCTTTGTTTCTTGTCTGCAAGCCAATTTTCTATTCATCTCAATACTACCAATCCCATGTGCTTTAATTTTACACAATAATCTTCTATGTGGGACTTTTGTTGAAAGCCTTGTGAAAGTCCAAATAAACCACATTCACTGGCTTTTCCTGATCAATTCTCCTAGTTACATTCTTGAAGAATTGCAGCAGATTTGTCAAGCATGACTATCCCTTTGTACATCCATGCTGACTGTGTCTAATTCTACCACTATTATCTAAGTACTCCAAAATGTTTCATAATGGACTCTAGAATCTTCCCCACTACCGACATCAGATTCACTGGTCTATGATATCCTGTTTGCTCTCTATCTCCCTTTTTAAATAGTTTGGGGGGAGTTGGAGGGGTGGGGGTGGGGGCGGGGGTGGCGGTGGTGCGAGGGGAGCATTGGATCAGTTCCTGTGGATTGGAAGGGAGCTAGAGTCTAAAGAATCTTAGAAGATACCCACCAATGCATCCAGTATTTCTAGGATCACTTCCTTAAGTACTCTGGGATATAGATTATCAGCCCATGCAGATTTATCAGCCTTCAATTTCCCCAACATTATTTCTCTACTGATACAGATTTGCATCAGTTCCTCTCTTTCACTAAACCCTGTGCTCCCCATCATTTCTGCTACATAGAAAAGGTAAAGTCGTGGGTCTTAGCATGAGTCACAGGCTCATTTCTTAGTTTCTTAGGATGAACAAAAACAGAAGTTGTTGGAAAAGCTCAGGAGGTCTGGCAGCATCTGTGAAGAGAAAATCAGAGTTAACATTTCGGGTCCAATGACCCTTCCTCAGAACTGTTCCGAGGAAAGGTCACCAGACCCTGAAACGTTAACTCTGATTTTCTCTACACAGATGCTGCCAGACCTGCTGAGCTTTGCCAGCAACTTCTGTTTTTGTTCCTGATTTACATCATCCCCAGTTCTTTTGGTTTTTAGTTTCTTAGACTGTGCTTTGCTTGGTGGCAGCAATCTCATAACTCATTAATTAAATACATCATTTAGGCTGACAGATCACGTAGTATTAAGAATGCTGTACAGTTACATAGATACAATAATTTGGATTCAATGCTTAAT